GGCCTCGGGGCTCCCTGGCATTCGGGGACCGGGGGCTGGATCCCGGGCCGGGGCGGCCGGTCGTGTTGGGCTACCGGGCCGGACGGGTGCGAGGCGGCGCCGCCTGGTCGCGAACTCTCGGTCACCTTGGCCTAGTCGCTCCCTCCCCTCGGCACCGGCGAAGTGCGAGCGATAAGCCCCGCCTACTGCACGCGGAGTTTGGAGGTTCCGGGGCGAGACCCCGGGGGCGGCCGCTGTCCCGGGCGGTTTGCGGGGCCCGCCCACCCGGGTATGGACGAGGTCCTCCTGGGGTGGCATTTTGTTACGGGCTTCGCGAGGGAGCCCTCATTTGTTCGTTTAAAATCGCCAGAGTATTAGGAAGTTGTTGCAAAACTTTTACTTAACGTAAAGCAGACTTCAGGCCTCTCTGAGGCCCGTGCCGCCTGCCCCCTGGAGCGGGTGCCTGGGAGCTCGGGCCCGGGACTCCCCGCATTCTAGCATAGAAGGGGCATCCCTTCCGATACCCGCTCCTGCTCCTCCCCTGCTGGCTTGCTCCTCCCGGGGGATCTTTGCGGCTGGGGGTAAAGAATGGTGGCAGCTCATGGGGCTTTCTCCCTTCAGAGTCGAAGCCACCTCTTCCCTGTAAAGAAGCTGCATGCCACTCCCGAGGGGAGTGGGACCCAGGAGCCTCCCCGTGGTGGTGCGGAAGCGCAGGGCCTGGGCGTCTCGGTTGTGACAAAAGTCGGGAGCCTGCGGGATGCTCCCGGTCGGGTGAGGGTGGCCTGTTTGCACTGACACGCTTTCCGCCGCAGGTGGCCGGCATGCAGACGGCTGCTCTCTGACCGGCCGCCCCTCCCTGGACATGGCCCACCGGGGCGTGGAGAGGGACTTCCAGTCTTCGGCGCGGCGCATGGGCACCTCCCTGCTCTTCCAGCTTTCGGTGCACGAACGGGAGCTGGACCTGGTCTTTCTGGATCATAGCTATGCCAAGCCATGGAGTGCCCACCCAGATGCCAGTAGTGCCCGGCCCACGCGCATGCTCTTTGTTACTCCCCGGAGGCAGCATGAAAGTACCATGTGAGTTTGGGCTCCTCTCCGAAGGGCTGCGGTGGCCCTCGCTGGGCAGTGGTCAGATGGGTTAAAGAGGACTTTACTGGGGGGGCTGGGGGGGGGGCGGGGGCTCGGATATCAGGCCTGTATGGACATCGGCATTCAAGACATCTGCCAGGAAAGCAAGATGTTCCAGAGAAAGTAAACAGCCTGTTCCGTGTAGGTACTAGGACTTGTATGGAAAGAGGAAATGGAAGAGGATTATTTAACGGGTGAAGAATAGGGCAGTTGACTTAAAAACGGCCAGACAGGATTAGACATTCCTTTAGCCCAGTGTGCTGGCTTGCCCCGACTCTGGCAGCAATAAACTTTTCCTGGCTTCACCCAAAAAGTTTAGCAGGAGTCTGTTCCCAAGACCTTGCTTTCTCCCTTAGCTTGTTTCAGAACTGTCACCCATGGGTGATCTAAACCCTTCTTAGGTCTGGTTGTATTTTCAGCTGGACTAATTACAGGATAAGGAATTTTTTAAAATATATTTTTATTGATTTCAGAGAGGAAGGGAAAGGGAGAGAGAGAGAGAGAGGAACATCAGTGATGAGAGAGAATTATTGATGGGCTTTCTCCTGCATGCTCCCAGCATGCGCCCTCCTGGGGATGTGCCCTTTACCGGAATCGAACCCGGACCCATCAGTCCGCAGGCCGATGCTCTATCCACTGAGCCAGTCCAGCTAGGGCAGACATTTTTTTTCATAAATTTAGTATGTAATAGGTGATATAGTTACATTTGGCTTAAATAAACCTATTTAGCAATTCTTTTGAGATTTAAGGTGTTCTAACTATATTTTAAGATTTGTTGATCTGTTTTTGATGACCAAATCACATCCTTCGTAATCTTATAAACTGTTTGGGGAGGAGGTTTTTTTTGTTTGTTTGTTTGTTTTTAATTTTATTTATTGATTTTACAGGGGAGGGGAAGGGAGAGAGAGAAACATTGATTCCACTTATTGCATCCATTGGTTGACTTTTGTGAGCGCCCTGACCAAACCAGCAACCTTGGCACTTTAGGACAATGCTGTGACCAACTGAGCTACCCGGCAGCCAGTGCTTTGTTCGTTTGTTTTAATCTGATCTAATATCTAATCTTTCCTCTAGCACAGGTTTTAGGTTTGTTGGGGAATAGAGATCTTACATTTTGCTTCTTTAGATCCCCCATTGAGCCTTAATGAGCTAGAGTTACTATGATATGTGTTTTAAACACATACAGAATAGTGGTTTTTATTTCATTTCCTAAGGATGACACCATTTTGTTGGCTTTTTTTCTTGTACGGGGCACAGGATCTCTGACTTTAGGGAATTTTTCAGCATAATCTTGATGCCTCTGGCTTGGGGCATAACTCGTGAGCTCCTTTATGTAGAACTTGAAATTTTTACCTCTGTTTTCTAGTTATGTAATAGCTCCTTGCTAACATTGGAACTCCCATGTTTGTATCTTGTATTTTTTAAAAGTGCGGTTCTGTAGACGTGGCTATTTTAGTCCTTAGAAAATTATTTCCTCTTATAAACTGTCTCCATATATATAGCCCTTGAAAGTGGGAGTTTGGCATGTTCTGTGAACTCATTTTAGGCCATTGTGTCTGAAGTATCGTTGCAATGGGGATGTAAGTGGGAGCTAGGGGAGAAGTTGGATTTATATTTTTAAAAGGTCACTGAATTTTTGCTAGGAGGCCATTGCAGTAGAGGGGGCAAGAGGTCATGATAACTTGGATAGGGGCAGCAATAGTACAGATGGAGAAAAATGGATGGCTTTGAGATTTATTTTGTAGATAGAGTCGACAGGACCTGCTGTGCTGAATTGGAAAGGAACCAGGGTTAAGGCCTAAGGTGATTATTAGGATGACTTTTCGATTTCTGGCTTGAGCAGCTGGGTGGTGCCCTGAGTTGGGGAAAGCTCAGGGAGGATATGTAGGAATGATGAAATCAAGAGTTCTTTATGAGGCACACAGGTCTCAGTGCCTGGTCCAGAGAAGATAATCAGCTCTTTCACCCGCCACCCAATCTAGCTGCACATGATTTCTCTTCATTTCAGAATGGTGTCATTATCCCAGCCATTGGGAATGGCTGCAGTAAAATCATCAACGTCAGAAAGTGAAAGTGATGTTGGTAGACAACCACAGACCAGTTTCATTGGCATAGTATTTGGGGTGACAGTTGGTGCAGTGAAGGACCCTATGGTACTAGGATTTCATTAACATTTTAAAATATGAAGGATTCTTCAGTCTAGCCTGCATAGCTGAGTGATTTAGTTGACCTATGAACCAGGAGGTCACGGTTCGATTCCCGGTCAGGGCACATGCCTGGGTTGTGGGTTCGATCCCCAGTATGGGGCGTGCAGGAGGCAGCCAATCAATGATTCTCTCTCATCATCGATGTTTCTGTCTCTCTCTTTCTCTCCCTTCCTCTCTGAAATCAATTAATAAAAAAGAGGACACTTCAATAAAGTACAAGAAAACTGAAAAAAAGAGTATCTTAAAATATATATATGTATATATATATATATACACACACATATAAATATAAAAATAAAATATGAAAGATTCTTCAGATGTCCATTTCTATTTGTTTCTATTCTAGGCCCTTTTCACAGTGAGTTAAGTAGCTGAGGTGTCTACATTCCAAGTGATCTGTCTTAGACAATCATGGGCTTTTACTACATATAGTTACTACCAGTTGACTTGCTAGTGAAGGGGAAAGTTTGTATGAATAGTTAAAACTCAGATCAGTACCGTCCCACAGAACTTTCTGCAGTGATAGAAATGCTCGATACCTGTGCATCCGATATGGTAGCCACCAGCCATATATGTTTGTTGCACACTTGAAATGTGGTTAGTCTGAGAAACTGAATTTTTAACGCTGTGTAATTTTTCTTACTTTAAATAGTTTAATGTGGCCTATAGTTGTATTGGAAAGCACATATAGGCATTCAACTATTTGCTTATGGAATATATTTGTCTTTTTTTAAAAATAACTATTTGTTATTTTTTGCATATAGTCATTTAAAAATGACTTAACGTCCCCTAGCACATCAGAGTGTGTCAGAGGTCAGAGACTTGACAAGTGTGGGAAAGATGACTTTGAACCATAATTTTCTTGTGGATATAATGTGCTTGTGCATATTTTAAAGCTGATTATATTAAAGAGATATTTTTGGCAACCAGATGATTGTTAAACATCTGTGTTGTATACAGTACATGTGGCCTGGTCCTATCTTCTCACCTGTTTACAGCGAGTCAGACGTCCCAATAGATGTGGAGACAGTCACATCCACCCCCATGCCACTCTACGACAATCAGAAGGCACGCAGCGTGATGAATGAGTGTGAACGGCATGTCATCTTCGCCAGGACTGATGCAGACGCCCCTCCCCCACCAGAGGACTGGGAGGAGCATGTCAACAGGTAGGCTACTCTGCAGGAAGACTGGTCACTACAGGGGTGATGCTCACTGCCCTGTGAATGTTTTGTATCATCATCTGCATTGAACACATTTACTAGGCACTTATTTCATTTGTAGCCACACACATGTTCTTCTAACTCTGCATTGTAAGTCTCAGCTCACTGTGCGCAGTGAGCTCTTTGAGAGGAAGGCTTGCATCCCAGCCATCTTCGCATTCCTGACATTTAGGACATTGCCTGGCACATAGTAGGCATATGATAAATGTTTATCAAATAAATGAATGAATTAAATTTGATAGTTATGCTAATGTAGCTTATGTAGTATAAAATCTGATATGGGAGTTTCCCAGACTCCAAAAAAACAACCACCCAAAACATTAAATAAATGTATATTTGTAGGACACTGTTTTATAAGTTCTGTAGCTAGGTCATGAAAATGTTTTGGAGTCACATGAAAAGCTAACAGATGTTTGATTTGAGTGCCTGTTAAATACATATTTGCAGTCTGGTTTTGAGGGAATACTTCAGCCCATTTTCATGAATTGCCTGTCTTATTACCATGGTTCTTACTGACCCAGGGACTCCACATTCCTCTCCAAGTCATTTTTCATTGTTCTTTTGGCAAACATTTATCTTTTGCTTATTGCATAACAGCCTTATGAAGATAAAATTTACATACCATATAACTCACCTATTTAATGTGTACATTTTAGTATATTCATCATCACAATCAATTTGATGAACATTTTCAGCACCCTAAAAAGAAACATCATATCCATTAAAGTCACTTCCCATTTCCTCCCAACCCCTCCAACCTCTGGCAACCACTAATTTCCTTTCTGTCTAAGTTTGAACATTTTATATAAATGGAATCATACAATATGTGGCTTTTGTGTCTGGCTTCTCTCAGAATATTTTTGAGGTTCATGCGTATTGTAGCATGAATCAGTACTTCATTCCTTTTTATTGCCAAATGATATTTCATTGTATGGTTGTACCACATTTTGTTTATCCATTCATCTGTTAGTGAACATTTGGGTTGCTAACACTTTCTGGCTGCTATGAATATGCTGCTTTGAATATTCATGTACTTGTTTTTGTGTGGCCCTATGTTTTCAGTTCTCTTGCATATTTACCTAGAAGTGGAATGGCTGGGTCATATGATTGCTTCATATTTAAGTTTTGGGGGCTTTCTAAACTGGTTTTCAAAGGGACTACAGCATTTTACGTTCCCACCAGCAGTGTAAGAGAGTTCTAATTTCTCTACATCTTTGCCAACCTTTATTATCTGTCTTTTTCTTTATTATGACCATTCTAGAGGTTGTGAAGTGACAGCCAGTTGTGGTTTTAATTTGCATTTCCCTGGTGGCTCTCTATCTGCCATATGTAAGGGAATATTAAAATCCTTACACAGGAGCTGGTAGCCGGTACACTTGCCATAATGTTGGAGAGATCTTATTTTATAATCATGAAAGAGAAAAAGGACACTCTGTAGGAAAAAGGATAGGAAGTTTGAGGCAATTGTCATGAGTCTGGTCTGAAGTCGGGAATGAGGTTGAGCAGGTGTGCCCTGTGATCAAGGGGGAGCTGTTAAAGGAGGAGCAGCTCTGCACTTTGAAGAGCTTGTGAGTAAGTTGTTTAGGATCTTGAACTGGAATGAACGTTGTGCCCTAAGAAGGGGAAATGCTCTCCAAAGCTTCAGATACAGAGGAAAACTCTGCTGTGAGTGAAGGTCAACTGCTGGAATATTCCCAGAGTCAATGAATTCATCAAAATGGTTATCATTGTTGTTACAGTTAATAATGAAAAATAGCGACAGTGGTAGTAACAACAACAAAAAAACACCTGTTGTTTGTCCAGTACTTTCTGGGTGCCAGGCATTGTGCCAAGCGCTTCATGTCCATGATCTCTTACTGCTCACAGCAACTCTTAAAGGTATATCCCTTCTTCATCTCTATTTTACAGGATGGAGAAACTGAGCTCAGGATGGTTAAAAAATCTTAGGAAGTGATGAAGCAGGAATTTGTTCATAGTAGACAGTCCACCTCCAGAGCCCAGAGTGTTCTCAACTATTCTACCCGCTTCTTAAGGGCAGTCAGTAGCTGATCAAGGTGACCCCTCATGGTTAGGTATCCCTTTGTGGTGTCCTCAGGGTGCAGTTTCAGAAACTGCATGGGAGAACTGCGTGAAGTTTTTTATCAGTTCACAATGGACATGATTGAGAGATTTGGGGGGACTTTTTATACTTACCAAAATCATCAGACACTTAGTAATACATATGAATACCAGTTTCTTAATTTACAAGGACAGCTATATCTGTAAGGCAGATGAGACACTGGAGTGGCCTGGCCAGAGCATCGATTCTCAGGAGAGTCTGGGAAGCCCTTCTATTCCAGAGTGGATGGCAAGTACAGAGTCTGCCCTGGAGGACTCCTCCTTCAACAAGGTAGCTGGATGCACCCATCTTTCCTCAAAGCAAGAAGGGCTCCCTGATTAGGCCAGGGCACACCTTCACCTGCCCTGCAGAAAAACACTGACAGATTCTTATCTTTGGCTTGTCTTTCTCCATGGGGACCTCCATCCTTCTGTTATGACATTACCATAGATTGATATGGTTAATTAGCGCTCAGTTTATCTCAGATTATTTGTTTTTTTAGTGTCTGATGAAATTTTGGAGGCGTCCTTCTCATTAGCAACAGGCTTACAAACCATCTCTTCAGGTAGGTCACTTTTGCACACAGCTAATTTTATTATTTGATGATACTTGCTTCACTTTCAGAGGTCACTGAACTCTGACCTTGTCCCCAAACTCTGGATCCGTAACCTGTTTGGAGCTTGCAGTTAGTTCCCTCTACTCTGATTATAAAACTTGTTGCCACTCTTTTCCTTGACTTGATTGTTAAATTGCTGATTCTTTTCTT